GAAGAAGAAGAAGAAGAAGAAGAAGAAGAAGAAGAAGAAGAAGAAGAAGAAGAAGAAGAAGAAGAAGAAGAAGAAGAAGAAGAAGAATAGTAATAGTAACAGTAATAATCATAATAAATGACATTTATGTAGCTCAACCCCAATTAAAGTACACAGACTCTGAGCGCTTCACAATACAATACAACGTAAAACAGTAATATATAACGTTGTGTTCTGACCAAAAGTGAATCACTCCAAATATTCATCTCATTAATTGAAAATAGAAATGACTTCAAGTGGCATTTGAATGAATCCAAGGACTTGATGTCTCTTAAAATACTTAGCTAAGTATTCCAGATCTTGGGCCTTTGTATTCAAATACCCTTTCACTCATTGTTTTAAGTTTCATAGATAGTAAAAGAAATTTGTTTTTGTCAGCTGATAACTTTAAACTGCGAGTTGGAATGTACAGTCTCAACAGATTTGATAAATATGATGGCGCATTATCATTCAAGCATTTGTGACATAGGTTGGCCAACTTGTACACAAGTGAAGCCAGTGCAGTGTCCATAAAAGAAGTGTACCAGAGTCTTGCTTCAGTGGCCGTGGGTAGAGGAGGGTTCACGGGCTTGAGCACACCCCCCCCCCCCATACCATCCAACTCTTTCTCAAAGTAAATGAAAGTTTTATAAATAACGATAACGAAATAAGCAGTTGAAACCGTTATGACCGCACACAATGAACACTGAGTGATCAGCTTGGCGGCTTGCTCGTTTATCCAATCACTGTTGTCACCGCTTAAAACTATAGTAACCTAGCACTCAATCAAATGTCTTTAGGGTAGGGCAAAGGATGAGCCCGTTCCCACGCCCCTTCCGTAATGAAAATCTTCTTGTAAAAAGGTAGAAGATTAGGAAAAAGAACACTCTACTGGGGGCTCATGCTCTCCTAGCCCTGACAATGGGTGAAAGTACTGAAAGTTTACGACACACTTTCCACAAGTGACACAGTTACTTATGCCGGCATTGGACCTTTGTAGGTGCGTTATACTTTTTAAGACTACATTATGGCCTTATCCACTTCATATACGGAATATGTTTGAAGTGCTGTATGTGCATGTTTGTGTTTGTGCCGCTGAGATTTTACAGTTTTAAATCACATCAAATCTTTAGGCAACTTTTCATCCAGAAGAGAGATGGAAGACAAAGGTGACTCTTCTCGTTTGAATGGTTCTCAAAATGCCGGGGCTCGCCGTGGCAGTAGAGAAATCAGTACTGTTTTGGTCTTGTTGCTTGCTATTTGGTGGTAAAGAAGTGGAAACAACCTTAGCCCCACCCATATTTGACCCCCCCCCCCCCTCCCCCAACCACCACAGTCTCGCTTTCTTTTCCGTAAAACTAAACATGCAGCATTGTTTTGGACAGTTTGAAGTACTTGTCACTCCTGGGGCATATCGAGCATTTGGTATCATCTTAAAACTTTTTCATTTGACTTATGTTGGATAACAAAAATAGCCATCTATCTTGAATAGAAGTCGAGATATTTGCGAGCAACCGCCAATCACTCACAAGCCTTCTCCTTCTCTTCTTAGTAGAGTCGCTGGCCTAGTGGTTAGGATACCGGACCCTCAATCGTGATATTGCGGATTCGAGGGTTCGAGCCTCAGCTCGGTCCGACGTTGTGTCCTTGGGAAAGACACTTTACACGAGTTTTCTATTTGGCTGGGTCCTTTCGGAGATGGACGTTAAACTCGCAGGCCCGCTTTTCAAATAACCTAAGGGCGTTAAATCTATACTCTTTACCATTCTTTCTTCTCCCCTTCAAGCCAGAAACTGACACCGGCAACCAAGATTCACTACGACGTTTCAGTGTTATGGCGTGGTGGAGTCAGGCTCTCGATCTTAAAGGCCTGTCCATTTGCTTTGCTTTTGAGGGGGGGGGGGGAATCCATTTATGTGGGATTCAAGTCAAGACATTGACGATTGAAGGAGGTGGGGGGTCGCCTTGGCTTAGAGGTAAAATTAGCAAGAAAATGGCGGCCAAAGTTCTGTTATTTCCTTAGCTCGAGAGTCTGTGAAAACTGAAAATTTACATCTCTTATACCTTTAGTCAACGTTTTTCAGTTTGTTCTTTAATCCAGACAGACAGACAGACTGACAGACAGACAGACAGACAGACAGACAGACAGACAGACAGACAGACAGACAGACAGACAGACAGACAGATAGTCGCAAAGACAGATAGACAGACAGATAGATAGACGCACAGATAGACAGACAGACAGATAGATAGACAGACAAACAAACAGACAGACAGACAGACAGACAGACAGACAGACATATAGACAGACAGACAGACAGACTGACAGACAGACAGACAGACAGGCAGATACCTATAGAGACATACAGACATAAAAATATACAAACTTAATAATATAGACAGACATATACTTATACAGACAGACAGACACACAGACAGACAGATACCTATACAGACATACAGACAGACATACAGACAGACAGATACCTATACAGACATACAGACAGACACACAGACAGGCTGATACCTATACAGACAGACGAATAGACAGAGAGACAGACAGACTGACATACAGACAGAGAGACAGACAGATACCTATACAGAAGAGCAGGAACAAGGACAGCAGCATTGTCCCACTCCGCCTTCTGTGGGGCTCCATGCTAGGCCGGTCCTGTGTCAGTCACGTGGTGTTGGGGGGATCCTGGGGACGTGGGAAGTCATCATAGAATGGTTAGGTTGGTGTTGTTGGTGGTGGTGGTTGTGGTGATGGTGGTGTTGTTGTTGGTGGTAATGGTGGTGTTGGTAGGGGTAGTGGTGGTGATGGTGGTGGTGGTGTTGTTGTTTTTGGTGGTGGTGGGGGTGGTGG